CAATGATGATCAGAACTTGTCTATCATAAGGGGCACTCGTGCAAGTCGGATGCGCAACTTTAGGTGGACACGTTGGGAATGCAAAAGTCACAGAGGCACGTGCTGGTGGAACCCGCGAGGACTCCATGCATTGGAGGGGGAGGGCGACGAGGACGACGAAGAGAAGGGAGCATACAGTGCAATGTTGCAATGTGCGGTGATAGTCGTTAAGAACAGCGTGAGCCCCTTGGGCCAACATATCTTCCGACTAAAGAGCGGGATCTCCTCGGGTGCCTCGGTCGCATCATCGGAGGTGACAAGCCACGGGTCTGGGCTTTGGGCAATCCAAGCCGTTGAAAGAATCTCTCGCTCGGCCTGCGAGGAGATATTCACACACTGTTTCTCCAAGGCAAGCATAGTGAGGACTACTAAGCCACATGACTAAAGCCTCGTAGCCACCCGATTCAAACCCTTCCCAAAGCCTGCGAGCCGCCAGCATTGCGGAGACTGTGAGCCCGGTGGTCCGCCGTAGAAAACGCAGAGCCGTGGCCTTCTTTTCGACAGCCCGCACGCACAAACGCCGGCGATATGACGGCCTCTGCGCCGTAGAGATGCGGCCGGGTCGTCCGAGAAGGCAGGTCACTGGAACCCGCCCAAACCCGAAGACCCCGAGCACCGGACAGCCCCATGCGCTCCGCCTCGCGCCTTGACGCGGGGCTCGTCGGCGAGTCTGGTGCGGGCGCACACTGTCGGGGCGGGGCGGGGCGGCGTGCGGCAGCCAGGGGGGACGCTGGCATCCACGAGCAAGCGCCGCCAGAGCTGGTAGTTCTCCAGCTGAAAGAGCTGCGGGGAGGAGGGCCTCCTGGATTCGAAAAGATAAGGATGAGCTGATCGTTTTCGAGCTGAGGAGGACACGAGGATAATTGATACGGACAAGGATGAGGCTGAGGATAAGCCGAGCCTCCTCTGGATACGGATGAGGATGAGGATGGATTCCTCCTGGGAGGGCGACAAGAGGATAAGGATGTGGAGGGCCTCCTGGGGAGGAGGCCCAGTCGCCACGGCTGGATCCCTGTCGAGGTCGTTGGGCAGAGCGTGCCTCAGGCGGATGCGCCCGTCACCTCCAGGCGTCGAAAGAATTGCGAGGGCCCTCTGCTCGCAAGCTCGGTGTCCAAGATGAGGACCCCGCACTGCCCAGAACAGCCCGTGACGAACGGGAATAGGAGTTGAGAGCTCTGAGCACGTCCGAAAGCAGGGGGGCGAAAAGGAAGTGGGAGCAGACTGTTTGGAGGCGTGTGAGGGGTGGTGGTGAATGTTGAAGTTAAAGGATTCGGGTGAATCCTGAGTATTGGGCAAGAGTGACCTTTGGTGCGCATCTTGCCGACTGCTGCACGCGATGCGACAATATATAGCGGCCAACCCACGCTGGAACCCCCGAAAGCCCCGCACAAAAGATCACTCTGGCGAAAAGTCGCTCTTACGTGCATCCGACGACCGATCGTAATTGGAGCCGGGGGAAGTTCCTTTTCCTGCTCCAGACGCGAGCGGCTCGAGCAGGAAACAAACTGCGCAAACACAATTTTCCGGAGTTCCCCCACTGATTTCTGCGCTGACCCCCTTGGCGAAGCGCCCCTGGCGCCACACCTGGCTGGCGCCGCACCCGGCGCTCTGCGCGCCGGGGGAGGGGGGTCCAGCACTGGATCAACAGATCCGCGGGGACCCCCGAAAGGTTGTGCTCACGCAATTCTCGTCGGCGAGCCCAGGGGGGAAGCCAGAAAAGGCGGCCTTCTCAGAAGGCTCGGCAGCCCCCCCCCGCCTTCTGAGAGCTCTGCAGAGCCTTCTTCCCCGAAGGTACAGGAACTTCTCAGAAGGCTGGCTGGCGCGCTTCTGAGAAGTCCCGCCGCCTTCTGAGAAGATCTTCTACTTCTCACTTTCCCCAGGGCGCGCCGCCAAGTCTGGTTCTTGGGTCATAGCTCCGGTCCTGGGCGGCCGTTCGGGACCACCCCAGCACCCCCCGGGAACGCCTACGTGCCGAGGGGGTATCTAACATGGACACCCCGAGCTGGAACCACCTTCGGAACCGATGAACCACTCCCTGCAAAACCTCCGAACCTCGGGGCGGAACCACTGGGCGTGAGAGGAGGGGGGGGGGAGGGCAGAGAAGGAGGGGATGGCGTGGAAGCGGGGGGGGGGAGTGAGTACCAGGAGAGGGGGGGGGGGGGCAGTGAGGAGGAGGAGGAGGACGGAGAGAGGAGGCGAGCGAGGGGGGGGGAGGGGGGGAGGGAGGGGGGCGAGGACGGAGGGGATCGAGCGTGACCCTTTCAGGCTCGGGGTCGCCCCAGGCGCGGGCGACCCGGTGGCGGCGCCACCGCCCCGCGCGGCCGCCGTGGGCGCCTATAGGGCGTCGCTGGCCTCGGCCAGGCGGGGCCCCGCACGCGCGGCGGCGGGCCCAGACCCCTCGAGCAGCGAGAGCAGAGGGCAAGACATCCACCGCCACGGTAACCACCAGGGCTGAACCCAA